CTGATTGACGTTTAAGGCTACTCGCCTGTAAATAATTGTGACAGAACTATGACAGAATCGCTTATCAAAGTTCTCTGAGTTCAAAGCAAAGTAATTCGTTCTTTGCCATTTAATACGAATTAATTTAATTTGATTTAACATAAACAATTCGTGCCTCGGTCAAATTTCAAATGGACACCTAACTAGCAATGACATTAGCATTAAGCTATGTGGGAATGTTTTCAATTTAAACACTTTGCTGGGATGGAAGCTTTTGTGTGCTATTTATGACGTTTTATTTGTTGATATTGGGCATTCAGGCTGTTATTTGTTTGTGTTGAAAATTAAATGATCAATAATATTATGAATAAATTAATTGCAGTTAAATTTAAAGAAATATCTTTTAAGAATAAAGTAATTCTATTTTATATTAAAATATAGTAAAGATAGCGGATATCCTGGATTAGTTTATGCTTAGATTATAAGAAAAAGAAACTTTTCCTTTTTAATTTGATATCTTTGACATAAGAGTAGTATATGAAGACTACCTATCTGGCAGACAGAATGTTTCTTATATGCTCATCGGCTTAGCCCGGTTACGAGCCACTTGGCCCACTTACCCACTTGTTCCGTGATGATCCACCTAATCTGCCCTACAACAGCTGTTTATAATTTCAGCCGAGAAGGAAGAAGAACCTCTGGGCCTATTTGGCATTGCACTTGACTGAACTTTCGCCCTGTGGCGCTCTCATTCGCACTGTCACCCACTCGCACGAGGAGCGCTTTAACCAGCTAACCACTTGACTCAAGTGTTTGCTCACTTTGCGGGATGTCTCTCCCCGAGAACCTTTCTCCCACTTTCTCCCTGCTGTTACCGCTTCGGTTTGCGGTTGCTGCTCTTTTTTTCGCATATGTTTTGACACGCCTTTTTTTCTGCTGCGCCCAGATGTTTTTGTTCTCCAACGATTTTCCTCGTTTTTCTTTGTTTTTTTGCCTTTTCTGTTGTTTGTGGCGACCTCTTCAGCTCCCCTGGCATTTCCATTGTCTGTCGGCTTTCACTCAGTTTATTTGTACTCATGCATCATAAGGGTTTAATGGATTTGCCATTGGCCTAGGCCTGGGTTCTCCATCCCGTCTGTTTTGCATCATTTACCCACTTTTCACACGCCCCTAAAGCACGGGCGTGTGGGCCTACGCAATGATTATCATATTACGGCCATTGTGTGTCTGAGACCACACCTCACTGCCCCCCTCGCACTTCGCACTCTTGGCTTTATGACTTTATTTTCGCCTCCCCTACTCGACGGCAGTTAATACATTTTTATAGACTTGCCAAACTACTTAACCACCCCACTTTCGGCTTATTTTCCTTCCTTTGGGCTGTCTCTCTATTAGCTTTTCGCGTGCTTTGTCATTGCTGTTAATAGACTTACTTTTCTTCTTGTCCCAGTTTTCGTGGCAAAGTGGCGACAAACCATTAAAGCCAACTGCCCACCTGACCAACTGAGACCGCTAGGACCAACCGCCTGCTTGGTCATAAAAAAATTGGTCAACGTCGCGTATGCGTAATGCTTGAATACTGTTTTATTTATGTGCAAATAGTCGAAGGTCTATATAATATTTAATGATGCTACCACGGATCTGGGTTCATTTACCGATTTTCTGAGCCGTAAATTGTTGAATTATATTGGCTTTTCGTCGATTCATTAAAGCTATTGGATGTTTAGCAACAACAACTGACTATTTCAGATTTAAATTTATCGGTCTACTATTTCAGCAGGTTGTATGTAAATCCTAAAGACATACTAACTAAAAACAAAGTGTGCATAATGCGAACAGAGTGGCTACGAACTAAAAGGCAAAAATATTAATCTAAGGGCAAGCACGAATTAATTTATGAAGCCACCATCTAGTGCACTTAGCTGGGATTTTGGTAAAAGATTTTCGGCACTCTGTTTGCTTACAAATTCCGTTTACATTTGCCAAAATTTTTGCAGACTTCAGCAGCATCTGCAGCAGTCAGATCGAGAAGAACACAACAATGGGCACGCAACTGGCTTCGGTTGGCCATGTACTTGGCTTGTCGTAGTCTGAATCTGTCCTTAACACACATCAAAGGCATTATTAACACCGCATATACAAGCAGGGATTCTGAATGATGCCTTCAAGCGGCCTCAGAGGCCAAAAACCCAAAACATGTGTCGTTGTCCTTGTTGGTCCTAGTGTGTATAAGTGTAAGTGGCTCTATGTGCGAGCGTATTTATGAGCCACTGTACTACACTACTATACTATACCATATATATATATGTATACATATAGCTAGCAGGCACTGTAATACATACGCATGTAAACTGCTTTTGGCGTGCATTAAGTGGTCTTAACTTTCCACACAAGGACATGCTTTTTGTGGTCTTTTAAATTATTTTTTTACCCTCATTCGGAGCGAGCAAGTCGATGGGAGGGGGGCGTGGTGGTGCAAGCACGTCTGTGCAGCCAATAAAATTTATATTGGTCTGGGAGCCTGTATTATGCCAAACGCATCTTATTTAAGCATTTGGCTTTAATTTTGCTCTGAATGAAAATTACTTCAAGACTAACTATACCTATACAGCTTTATTTATTCTCTCAAATTTTCCACATGAAAAAATATTAAAACCACAGTTTTACTAGCTTGCTTGTACAACATAAAATCCATTATATTCCATATATCGTTAGAACTTTAAACAGGCGGTAAGCAATCACAAATCATTTTTGTATTCAACCTTTTCGGGAAAACATGAAACAACATATGGATTGAAGTTTATTTTCCGAATAATTTTACCCAGTTTAAAAATTCTTGCATGGTTTTTATTTTCTTCAACTTAGCCCACCTTAAATTTGATTGAATCCATTTCCACCTTATCTCCTCCTTTAGTTCTGTAAGTTTATGCTCGGCCCTGTTTAAAACACGTAATCCTACCTATTTGGCCTGTCTGGGGAAACTCCAAATTTACGGCTGCCAATTTGGAAGTCAGAACCCGTCTGACCCTTTTTTCTTTTGGCTCATCAATGAACCAAAAAAGTATGCTACCGAGAAAAAAGGGCCGGCAATTGATGTTTTATTCCCTCGATATATGTGTGAGCCATACAAATGCAGTTTGAAAAATGTTTACCTCCACATTTGCCAACCTTGTTTGCTCTCGGCGAAATCAGGTTAACGAAGAGTCTTCTCCGGGCCAATTGAAATGCGTGCGGAATTGTGTGCAATGAAGAGCCGTTTGCAGTTTTCGACAGTCACAATTAGCATCCACAATCTAGAATTGGCAAGGCAGTCAAAGAATTTACGGAATGCCAGGGCCCAGATGACAAAGATGGAACTTGAGCAGTCTGATAAATTGAAATTTGAGCAGAAACGTGAAGCTGCAGAACGTTCGTTAGTTCAGCCGTACTTTAGCCGTGATCCTGCCGTTCCACGCTGGCTTTTCCTCAACGACGACTTGCCACACTTCAAAGTTCGCGTTGTCGCCAAGTTCGGCGAATAATGAAAGTTGCGTGCCGCCTTGTCTGATGTGATGGTGGCACGAAGAACGACGGTCGAAGGACAAGGACGTGACGGCGTCAACTCGCAAGGCGGTTGCATTCAAATTAAATAGCATTTTGATGAATATTGATTGATTGCCTTTGCCTTGGGGCAAATTAGAAGCGCAAACCGCATCGACAAAGTTTTTATTTCTACCCCGTAGGCGAATACGGGTGACTCAAGTTCAGCCTTGAGTTCGGCAGAAGGCGGATTTGGAGTGGAATCATTTGCAATTTCCATTCAATTTGAAACAGACAATTTAAATGGGTCTTGGTTTCATAAATTAGAAAGAGAAGAGCGCAAAGTTAAAGTTAAAGGTAACAGAATACCTGATGCTTTACAGTTTTTAATTTAAGATCGATAAATTTAGTTTCTTTTAAACATAGCGCACAATACGATTATTATCGATCTTAAAAATTAATAAGTGGACCCTTCAGGACTCCTATTTTAACTTGCAATACTAACACTTAAGACATGGCTGCATAACTCTTTATTCGAGGGCATCGCTGGGTGCTTTGTTAAATATGAAATGACTTCCTGGCTGCCGAGGCAACGTTAAACCATTTTCGTAATGGGGGCTACAAAGTATTGCAGTCCCTGCCGACGACAGAGGAGCTACAAGGCAAGGCAATGTCCTCCGGACGAAACACAATGCAAGCGGCAACCGGAAATGAGTAAACAAGCGTCAAATAGTGAAAACAGCGGACCCAAGTACAATGCAATACCCAGTAGTCCTGGCTCCGTCCTCATCCACTCCTCGGGTTCTTTTTCGTGCCTCGGCACGAGAAAACAAATAAATGAAACATTAAACGAGACAAGGAGCAGCTCCAAGGGGGAACAAGGAGTGCTCGAGTAAGGAGGGAGGCGGGGCATAAGGACGAAAAATGAGCACCGAAGACAACAACCGGATATCCTGGAACTTTATAAGGAGCTCCCCGAAAAAGGACAGCAACGGCGACGGCAAGGACAACGAAGTTTATTTTAACTTTTGATTTCCGCCTTTTTCGGTAGAACCCTCGAGTGCATTGGCAAATGATTGCATTGAGTGGCAAAGTTGCGCTTTCAAGAGAAAATATCGAGTGAGTCGGCTTGGCATTAAGAATGAATTAAGCTCACAATATTCTACTTTGCCAAAGGCGATGGAGGAGAAAACAGATTTACCTGACTATGCTTTGATCTTGGAAATTGAATTTGCTGCAGGCAAACCTACCTAAAGTAGAAATTTAGAATAGAAAGTAATTTAGAGTAATTTAAATCGAGATCTTAAGTTAATCTATAAGCGATTATTATTTTATTTGTGAAATTTAAAGGTTGCTGGTTTTATAATACTGAGTTGTCTCTCTGTAGATTGTAGATTTGCAGATTGCACTTTTTCGTATTATTATTGGTCTAGAAAAAAGCCAAATATCAGATAAGCCTTGAGTTTAATCCCTAAAATACTTGGTATTAACTTTCATAATTATTTAGACAGTCCTGCTTTACACTGCTTACTACATTCGTAATTACTTCTGAAATAGCTTTATATTATTCAAGTTCAAGATGAGAAACGTTTCCAGGACGCAATCAAAGTAAAAACCGGTGATCTTGATATCTAATATATAATATTTATGTTAATATTATTGTTTTTTCAGGAAATCAACAATATTTATTATTGATTCCGATGAAGACCAATTTGAGGATATGGAGGAGTGCGAAGAGTATAGCTATGGACTGACCACTGACTTAAGCCGGTATGTATCTTTGGTCTTAATTAGAATATTGTTAAATACAAATCGAGATAGAAATCAAAGCATTATTTTGGATTATAAGGAGTTCAAGGCGGCTCGCGTAATTCAGCGCCATGTTCGAGGCTGGCTAGTGCGACATCATCTAAAAGAACTCAAGGCATCGGCGGTCATTATTCAGAAATGGTGGCGCCGTTTTCTTTCACAGAGAAATTTGATTTTCGTTGCCGAAAATGCCTTACAGTTGGTTGTTTTGGCGCATTACGATAAGTGTAGCCGCCTCATTCAGACCTTATACCGCGGTTGGTGGTCGCGAAAACACATCTTTGACCTTACCATGCTCAAGAGACTTCAGGTTACCCTGTCCAAAGACCTTATCCACACTTTGGTCAAATACTGCTACATCACCAAGAATTCTGAACATCTGCCAGGCCTTTATACGATACGGGACTCAAGGTAAGTGCTGTGATATTAAAGATAATTTGGTAAACAAGTTTTTATTGAAATATAATCTGTATCTATTGATCTCTAAAGTCTGTGCCTAAAAACTTTGGAGCAGCTGATGGCAACGTTTGGCTTTCGATATTATAACTCTAAGGCTTCCTACAAAATGAGCAAGGCCTTGAATACGGTGCAGCAGGGACGGAAGGTTTTCGAAGCGGCAAAAATGTTCACGAATATACCATATCCTGGCTTTAATGATCGCGGCTATTGTGATAATAGGGCGTTGTCCTCTATAGCATTGAATGTCCCAGAACCGGAATACTTCGAATTAATTTACAGTTTCCTTGACGGCCTTAGAAAGATGGATATGTCAGTAGCGGCTAAGTGGGAACAAAAAATTGCCATCCAGGAGGAAAAGACTCGTAAGTTAATTTTTAAATAAAATAATTTTGTATACTCTTTTGATTGGAAATTAACAGGCTTAAATAGAATAATCGAGAAGGAAAACGAGAGAAAGAGATTCGTGAAACGCATACTGCAGGATATGAGGCACTGGCACTATTCAAATGGGAAACCTATACTTTCCAGAATCGTATTCAAACATCATGAAACGATTGATGTGTTGCATGATGCCAAGAATACCCTGGTATCTATATTTGGTCAACTCGAGCCCTGCATTTGCCCAACAGCTGAAGATTTAGCTAAGCTTGAAAATTATTATTAAAGTTGTTACAAACTTTGTATATTTTCTATGTCGGAAAAAACATGAATATTTCAGAATACATGAGCATTAAAAATAAATATTATTTATAAATATTATTTTTCTTATATTTTATATAAACGCATAAATTATTAGGGTGGATTTCTTTATTTTACTTGATAATGTACTTACATTTTCGTTTATGAGCTTCAAAAGACAGAAGTTCCACGACCCTTTATATATGTGATTATCTTTGCTTCTATTTTTATTTATTCCGAACACACAAGCATAAGTAAGTTCAATATTGGCAGCAAATTAAATTTAATGATGTTTGCTGCTTGCAGCCAAAAAAGAAAAGCTCTAGCAAAAAGCAAAAAGCCAAGTAGAAATTGCCAACTCTGGTAAATATTTGCCAACTGACGCTAATGAACTTGAGCATACAAATGGGGATCGTGCAGAGGGCCAATACTTTTGGCCCTTTACTCGTCGGTGTTGTACAGAATATAATTTTCCCAAAAGATTTGCTAGACAGTTGATTGTGTCGTTGGCTTTCATTAAAGAGTTTTCCTACCGCCACCTCAGCATCACAAAACTCGTAAGATGAAAGGCGGCTGCAGGAATGCGGTAAAAATAAAAGAAAATTTGCTGAGAAGCAACGAACGTGTTTGCACAGAAAATTTCTTTCCTATTGATTATATGTATTTACACATTCCTCTCTTTTTTTCTCGTATGGCAAACGCGTGGGTTGCCCATTGTCAAACCGCAAAAGTCAACAGTTCTCGGATACATTCCATTTTCTCCATTCCAGGAAGGTCTGTTGGGAATGTTGAGTGGAGTAGAGCACTCAGGCTCAACTTGTTTCAAGTAAATGAAACAAGTAGGCATAGGTTTTCTGCTGTCAATCGAGTCTCTACCTGACTCTGAACAGGGCCTATATTATTCAGTTTATTCCTGGAGCCCAAAAAGGCAACACCTCCGGAACTGAGCTCCAAATTCTCAGTGTTTTTCGATTTAAACTTACAAAATTAACATCTTTCGGCTAGAATTAAGTTAAAAGTGATTTTTTTTTACGTAAACTTAAAACTTTGGAAGAGCTACAACTCGCGTTGCATTATGACGCGACACAGACACAGGCTTAAATAGTGTTAAACAGTGTTAAACAGTGTTAAATAGTGTGAAAATAGTGTGAAAAATACAGGCAACTATTTAAGCATAATTATAACTGTTACGATATTGACATTGTTGCTTTGCAGACAACAGGAACAACAACACAGAGGGTCTACAAATACTACCAACAGCATGTAAGTAGACACGATGCAAAGGGCATTCCTTGATTAAAACCAATACACCTAGAGGAGTATCATTCTTTGATTAAAACCAATACACCAAGAGGAATATCATAAAACATCTCGGAACTACATTTAAACAAAAACAAAACATCTGATAGCCATTTGAGCATGGAAATAATTATAACATTTGATTCGGAGGACTAAAGCAGGAGCAACTATGTAAGTGACCTTTTGCAAAGCTTTTTTCTTCGATTGATTTGAATACTTCTGTAGCTCTGTTCACATACTGGAACCAACCAAGGAGTATCTGAAAAGCAGTCATTACATAAGACATGACGACGACACAGGTTGACGTGGAAGTACCCACGATGCGAACCGTCTTTAAATGAAATATAAGACACCACATTGGCGGAAGGTACTGGCGTCAAGTGGAAGATATATTAAAAAAAAAAACCATAACAAGGTACAGAGATACAAGACATTAAAAACAAGAATGCAACACTGTAGAAGGGTACAAAAATATAATACTACAAATGTTTGATATAATAAATTTACACTTTTACACTTAAATCAAATTTTATTTGTCGGAGAAACACCTTGGATGTGTATCTCAAGCTGGTCGAACAATAGTACGAGTACATGTTAATTAGGCCAAAAGTGGGTCAGGAAAACAGCATGGCAAAAACGAGAGCTAAAAATAACGCTAGTCATAGGCAGCAAAGAAAAAAAAGCGAAGTACGGGGAAACGGAATTAACCCAAATATGCAAATAAATTTGCAAACAAAAATGGAAACAAGTCTGAGCCAAGTTGCACATTAACTTCCGCAGCTCATTAAGTCACTGTCAGCCCCTCGAGGCGGGAAGCTGGCGGGAAATATATATAAATTTATGTGACGCCAACTGGACGACAGGCGACCACTGGTACAAGACCCCAGCCCGTCTCGAATCGACCAAGAACTTCGCTCCGAGCTGGAAAACAAAATAAAATGTGGGTGGGAGGTGTTACAGTCTTCCCTTCGCATTTAGATAAATCAGCAGGGGTCGCAAAAAATTGCTGAAAAGGTTGGAATGAAAATGTCGGCGCTTAAAATAAGAAAAAACCCAGAAAACAAAAATCTGATTCGGCCCGCCCTCTTGGCCTGAAGTTTAATTGGGTCGATTCCCTTACTTTGCTTGTTTATATTATGGTCTACATAAGAAATGCCTGGATTTTTGTTTTTAATTTTTTTTTTTTTTTACCAGGCGAAGGTCATGGCAGTTCTAAGGGGACTGATGGTCAGGGTGGGTCAAACTAATTAGTGGCCATTTTGTGGGTTCTCCCTGTTTAATTAAATTTTAATATGAACTTAATTGAAACGCTGTAAAAAGGTGGACCCTTAAATATTTTTCACTTTTTAAAGTGAGACTGGACTGAATAACAAATAAAGTACAAACTCTTATTTAAACTACGCATTTAGTCCCTTAAAAAGCTTTACTCACCTATTTAATGTTTGGAGTAGCCGGCATTCTGTACATTTTATTCTGCCGCTGTCATTTTAACACTAGTTTGAGGGAAAAACCAAATTGTTACCAACATGTAGATTGCATGTGATTAAATTAATTTGCTGGTCTCCTTGTTATTATTGCCAGTGGCATAATCCTCCACATACGGCTATATAATTAAACACACGCGCTGCGAAAAACGACCGACGAGTAAGCGAAACGATTTAGAATTAACTGGAGGAGAGAAGGAAGTATTCGGGGAAATACGGATTTACTTAAGTCTGAGCATCACTCATACGCCTATCACTATATTACTCATATCTCACAAAGGACAAAGAGCAAACGTAGGACCTATTTTTACTTTTATTTTGCAGCCTCTTTCACGACTTTTTGGGCAGTGCAGCTGGCCGGTGTTTGTCTGAGATCCAATTCGTTGCGCGTTATTAATGAAACTGCTGATTTTTCTCGTCATCGTCGCCAGCATCGCCCCAAAAAGGACATTCCTTCGTGGACATTCGGGATTTTGAGAGCTCTCTCTCTGTCTTTCTCTCTTTGCGTTTAACAGAACCTTTTCTCTAAGCTTAACGAAGGTGCCGAAGTTTCTCTGAGAGAGAGAAAGCCCAAGGAAATTTAACGGTCGAGGTTTTTGAATTTGTTTCAGGAGCAAGAAATGTAATCCTATGAAATGAGCAGCTACACTTTTTATTTATTTACTAAGTTGCAAAAAAAGATAAAGTTATATTTTTTTTAAAATAATTAAATAATTTATTCAGTGGTCAGTCTTATGTTATTTTAAATGTTTAGTCCCAACGCTGTTAAAATACTGGGAAATAATTTGATACCTTTATATTTGAAGGAAATTTTTGTTCTCTTCTCTGTAGAGTACGTAAAAGGCAATACTTTTGAAAGGCATGGAAACTTCTTAAATTTATTTTATAAGAGAAGAGAAATGCTGAATCTTATATAAAAACTTCTGCAGCTAGTTATTAATAACAATTTTTTGTAATTTATTTATACCCTTAGTGGGTTTAAGCATGGGTAAGTAAATATATGAGACAAGGAATCGCGAATCGGGACAATCTATCAAATTTAAAAATCGCTAATTATAATCATTATATGTATTTTCAAACATATTCCCAGAAACTGGGAAACTAAATCGATGGAGGGGTTCAATTAATTGCCATTAATTAGGTGTAATGCATTTACCGTTTAGTGCGAAGTCAAGGAATTAGTGTAAGCCCCCTATCAATGTTAGCCCCTTACACGAGTATTATCGTATTACTCAAACCTTTTCGTAAGGTTTTAAGATGCCTCAATATGTTTCGCTTTATACCTTACAGCCCACCCACTCCCATCTACTTAAAGCAAGGAAAATCTTTTATGACACGTTATTAGTTGGCCCTGAGCAAAGGAAGAGCCGCGAATTGTGCGCCGCGAAGGGGAATATATATATATATATATATATATATATATATGGTATATACCGACTCAGACGTCGGGTGAGCTTTAATATGCTTAATGTAATTATGAGAATCGCATAGAGGGGCACCGCATCCCTGCATACAGATGAAAGCGTAATTCGAAACAAGGAAGGAGGGTGTCAGGTTGTAAAAAATGCTGAGGGACTTCCATACCTGGGGCTGTCATAAAAACATGTACAATTTACGTATACAATACAGCGATTTTTTTATTTGCGCAAGATAAAAACAATGCATTTTATAGTCAGTCAATTACAAATGTTAAGTCATGGCGGTCTTCCCCAAAGAAAAAAAGATTGCCCATTTATTTATATGAAAGCCTTCAAGTACTTACTTAACGCTGACTGGACTAAGTAACATAACAGACAATTTTCAATAATTTTTGTGACAATCCTCAGTATCCATTTGTCAAGTGTGCATCTTATCTGCTTCTAAATTTACCAAACAATTTAGAGGTGCACCTCACGATACAGCACCTGAACCATCTTAATATCGTTACAAAAACGTCCTCAGATCACAGCATCCTACTTATATTTACATTTTGCTAGCATATTTATTCCTTCGCTCCCAAATTCTTAGCGAAACTGACTTTGCGGCTAATGCAGATGGCAGGCGAAGCGAAGCGGAAAATGCTTTGTAAATTATTATGCCAAGTCGGAAAATGGAATGGGTGCCTAGACCCCTCATATATAAATATTTTTCCAGAGATAAACAAAGTATTTGCGCGGCGGTACGGCATGTGTTGTGTCATAAATTTCAATTGACTTATGAATATGGGGGGAATCTTTTCCCATGGAAAGTTTTTAGCGCCTACACGTGCCTAAAAGCCGATGAATATTGTTTAAATTTATTTGCCATATTGCTAATACGGTTGCGCGCTTAACTTCTTACAAAATGGTACGAATATGGACTTAAAGTATTTAAATAAAATTGTACAGCTTAAAAAAAAATATTACTTAAATGAAAAATTAAATTTTTAGAGATGATATATATTTCAGCCATTAGTGCCGCCAACTTCTTCATGGACGTATTAATGTGTTTGTCAAATCTCTTGCCGAAAACAATCCACAAACTTTCGACCGGAGCCTATGCATCATTTTTATGTGGAAAATTTTAGAACTGCCTAAGCGCTTAATGTGCCCCGCAGCTCGAATATGAGGGGGAACGAAAACTTCTTGGGCAGGACCTTCACACACTCTCAGAGGCTGTAACACTCTGGCTCAGAGCACCCCAAAGGATATTAACAATAATCTAACCAAATTAACCCAAAGCACTAAAGTGTAAGTGACATTAAGTTAATTTTCGTGTGCGCCAGCGAAAGAATAAACGAGATGAAAAACAAAACGGGAAAACTGAAACAAAAGAAGTGGCAAATAAGGGGGGAAAACTTACGTTTTATTTTACGTATTTTGTGTGTTTTTTCTACCAGTTTTTTTTTATGCCTTTTTCTTTTCTTTTGTCCCTGCTGCTGTTGGTTGCATCAACTGTGCAAAATTTCCCACGAGATCAATCAGCCACAGGCTGGAAAACAGGACAGGCAACAGCAACAGCAACGACGGCAGCGATGAGGTGGTTCTTTTGGGTGGGAAAACCGGGCAGGAGTAGCTCCTGTCTCTCCTTGTTGTGGTTTTTGTTGCTATTACTGCCTCCTTTCAAGTTTTTCCTTTTGTGTGTAACTTTGACCTGCTCAGCTTCCGAAGCTTTTCTTTTTCCCGCTGGTTTATTGTCTGCAAGTAGTATCAGCTTCTTGCTGATATATATACACAGATATACGTATATAAGTATACGTATGTAGTGGAGCTCTTCTTTTTTGTTTTTTGTTTTCACCTCTTGGCATTGGCCTTTGGAGTGTGCAGCTAATGAAGCGAGAGTTGATGAGGCAACTCAGGTCAGAGGCGGTGTACGGAGTTCGGTGTAGAGGGGGTGGGCTTAGCAACTACTTTTTGGGCCAAAGGTTGGGCAGGAAAATTCATCCATATCCAAGTTCCAAGTTTTCCACGATTGCTTGAGGCCATTTTCGTACCACATTTTAATAGTTTGCTTTTCAATTTTAAGTTGAAAATAATAATATTCCTAAAAACACAGTTTTGTTTTAGCGCAGCTCGTAGACTGTTAAATATACCACAGCTTTGAATAAAATTATCAATATAAAGATATCTTCTGTTTGCTTGTCATTTCTATAAAGTCAGCTAATTAAATATATAGTTACTAGACTTCCCCAGATGTGTGATAAATCCCCTTTGCAGTGCCACCTCTGATGCGAACTTCATAAAAAACCACCGGGAAGTCAAGCCGAAACCAAAAGTTGTCTCTCATTAACAGGAAACACTTCAAAGAATCGCATAAGTCCAGGAACGGGGCGCTAATTGTCACAGTGTGCGTGCATGTATTTGAGGGTCCTGCCACCAAAGTCAGGAAAATATGCCGCCGAAAGAAAGCGACTTGATTGATTAATGGATGTCAAGCGGCAGTGTCGAGGTGACAAGTGACCAAGTCAGGCTGTACGGGGATTTGCTGCCGCTAAATGATGTGCCAAATTAGACACGGTCTGAGGGGAAATGAGTTTGGACCGGATGGCAAAGATGACTCTGTTGGTCAGTGCTAAGGTTTCCAATGTCAACCGTCCTGAAAGAGCATGCAATAAACCGTCAAAATGGCGTCCGGCAAATGACAATAAAATTGCTTGAAGTTCCATTTGGGTCTGCCGTTTGGCTTGTATTTCGGCACTCTTTCCGGAAACATTTAATTTTGCGCCCCCAAAAAATTCGATGTACCGTTTCTTGCACAACTTGCATTTCCGTCTACTTTTGCATTTCCGGCAGTGGGAGGGCGGACATTTGGACTACGACCTGGCCACCGATCCCGGAATTGCAACCAAAATGGAGTTCGGCTCCATTGCGGATGTCCGCGTGGCAATTTTAATGCAATTTTTATGCGCCCGCTCTTGGCTTCCGATTTTTTATTTCACCCCCTTTCCATTCCTCGTGTCCTTTCCTTCCACTGCCATTTACTTTTTATCGTGTGCCATAATAGCAGTTTGTCTCTCCCTCGACTGCAGTTTGTGGCCAGAGGGAAATGGGAGCCAGGTCCCGCATCCTTTGCAGCGGAAGTCAGGTATGTAGGGAGCGGAAGAATTCGGTTGTATTTCGGTTTACTCTGGGGTTACTTTGGGTATTAGGTTGTCTAATTGCGTTCTTCATTACAGAGCAAAACGAAGATTAGTTCTTCAACGTCACGGTTATAAGATCTAACTCGAATACAGTCATACTTTCTGGCTTACTCGACAACTAAGATGATAAGAGAAATAAGTTGATATGGCTAATATTAAAATAAATACGAATAAGTGAAATTTTAAAGAAACATATATATTATATACAATTTTATCCATATCCAAAAACCATTTAGTTTTAAGGATAATTTAAACTTGACAAATTGTGTAACTTGGCCTATTTTAAGTTTCTGATTGATCATAAAACATTACTTGGCCCTTGTCGCCATTGCGGAAATTTTCCACTCGAAACTTTTAAACAGTTTCCCAAAAAATAGACCCAAATAAATAGCTGCGATGGAAAATTTTTGCATAAAACCATTTTGCTTGCAGCAACCGCAAGACAATGTTGTAAACTAAGACCAGTGCTCCCCGGACACCCCTTTTTTCCTTTGCAGAGCTTTTCCCGGAAAGTTGTTGCTGTTCGAGAGCCCAAGAAAATTTCTATAAAAAGGCATAATAGACGTCAGCAAATGTCTGCGACAGCAGCAGCAGAAAACTACAACAAAAGCATCAATAAACAGTGTAAAAGACAGTAACTGGAATGGAGTGCAAGAGAGAGAGGGTGGTATTTGATGTGACAGAGAGGCAAGAGCTATATGCACTACGAAAAATCAACATTTATCCTTCCTTATTTTCCTTTTTAAAGATTATACTTATAATAAATGTACAAAAATAAAAAC